GTGTGCGCTTCAGTGCTCGTGAGTCTTGCGGATAGGTCCACCAGTCAGAGCGTCCAGCAGTCAGAGCAGCCTTCAAATTTCTCACGAATACCGTTCGCGTATGCCCATCAGCCCATCCAGAAATTATTCCCAGGCAGATCGCCCTGATCGGGGCGTGTAGCATCGTTCAGTGGAGCAGGGAACAAGCTCCTTCCATGTCGAATATTGCACGCGCCTGGATGTAACTTTCATCCCATGTCTCATGATCTCCCTCCTCCTTGAATGACCATTCCCCCTGTTATTGGTCCTTGCCGTCTTCCTCTTTCTCAACTGAATGTGTATGTTCCTTCTCCTCTTTCTCGCATCTGCTTCTTTACGTGTGCTCACTTCTATATGATCCCCATCGGTCTCCTAATCCGCATGATCTGGACGTTCTTATGCATGATAGTGTTATTCCTCGTCTGCGCTTTGGTCTCCTTCGTTGTTAATGGACCCTTACGCCATCAAGGGCAGGTTCTCCCATTGCCGTTTCGGCACATTCGGTGTGTGCCCTCGGTTGCGGCGTGCTCTTATCATTGGTCCGCGCCACCCGATTTGAACCGCGCGTTCTTTGTGTTGCGCCGCCGCAAATCCGTTCATGAGTAAATACGGAGGAAGTCTCAGGAGCGGGGGTCCTGAGTTACTTTGGAGGAAGTCTCAGGCGGGAGCCGTTGTTGTTGTTGTAATCCGGAGGGCCAGGGGCACAGTTTGAGCACCAAGACTTCCCCTGTCGAAAAACAGGGTGCCAGCGTCGAGGGGCTCACTTTGATTGAGGAAAAGCAGTATGCTCCAGTGTGATTATTCTTCAGGAATGAGAATTCAACAACAAAAACAAAAACAAAAACAGCAACAGCAACAACAACAACAACAAAACGCCTCCACCCGTTTCGACACTGCGATGGGACTTCAATGGGAGCAGAATAGGCATACGTCTTGAGGATGGCACGAAGCCGAAGCAGAGGCTCGATTCGATTTGACAAACGGCCTCAGACTGCATACCCGCGCGTGGCCTCGCAACGAGCAGCGGCCAGAAGACCCCAGATTTCGATTGTGCGTTGCCACGCCAGCAGCTCCAGCCAGAGGGTCTGTGGGCGGACTTCCCTCATGTATGTGTCTCCCTTTTCTCCCCAGACGTTCTGGGTGGTTCGAGCACAAGCATGCGCTCGAGCACGCGGGGTGCGTCAGCTAGCGCAGCATTCTCGAGAGCGCGTCACGAAGTCCCCCTGATAACAGCAAGATAGCAGAAGAGCAACGTGAGCGAAAGACGTCAGTCGGCCAATGTGGTAAGAGAGGCGTCAGTCGGATGCGCAACCGGGCGTAGGGTGTAGCGCAAGTGCAAGGCAACCAGCGTGACCGGTGATACACGCAGGAGTCGATCCTGTCGGCGGATAGCGGTTGTGCGTCACAATGTAATGCCCACCAGCGAGATTCATTATGATCTTCGCGGTGGTCCCGAAAGAGCGAGGCGTCATGCAGTGTAGACCGTCTTTTCCAGGACGCGCTGATGTACGATCCAGCATTACTGTATGTGCGAAGATGCGTCGTCGACCCCAAGCCGCAAGACGTACAGTCGCACGCATCGTTCACACGCACGCACACTCATGAGTATGTGTTACTGGACTAGTGCTTGTTATCTTCTCGCGTTTCTTCGCAACATGAATTGTATGTGTCGTTTCTCGTATCTATCTTGATTGGCTTGGCTTCTAGGCCAGTTGAGCCGCCACGGCGTGCAGAAGTACGTGGTCCCTTGCCAAGGTGAGGCCAGGTCCCCGGTCAAGTCAGAGGACGCTCTCACTTTCATCTATTTGTTTGCCCTATAGTTGTTTTGGTCTTGCTTGCCGTAGTGAGCACGACATTGGGCACGAACCATGGCAGCCTTCTATTTCCGCAGCTCCGTGTTCGAGGAAGCTCGTGCTCATCTGTTGGTATGACGTCCTGGTTTCCGGGGGCAAGAGGACTCGCTTCTGTCCCCATCAGCATTTTTAGGGGATAAGAGGTGGCGAGACGAAAACCTGCATTAACGAATGCACGTACATGAGCGCATGCATGTATTGTAACAAGTGCGCTCGTACGTATGTGAGGACGTTTTTGAGTGCGTTTATGCACCTATACGACCACCCTTCGGGTGATAAGGAGGTGAGGGGGGAGGAGGAACCAACGTGTCACTCAATACATCTCGCGATCGATCCCACTATCGATCTCACTATCGATATCACTCGATCGATCTCACTATCGATCTCACTATCGATGTCACAATCGGTCTCACAACCGATCTCATTATCGATCTGATTCAGTCGATCTCACTATCGATATCACTATCGATCTCACATTCCGTTTCACTATCGATCTCACAATCGATCGCACATTCGGTCTCACATTCGGTCTCACTTTCGATCTCACTATCGATCTCACCATCGATCCCACATTCGGTCTCATAATCAATCTCACTATCGACCGCACTATCGATCTCACTATCGATCTCACTATCGATCTCACAATCGATCTTACCATCGACCCCACAATCGATCTCACTATCGATCTCACTATCGATCTCACATTCGGTCTCACTATGGAACTGACGATCGATATCACAATCAATCTCACAATCGATCTCACAATCGGTCTCACTATCGATCTTTCAATCGATCTCATAATCGGTCTCACTATCGATCTCACAATCGATCTAAGTATCGATCTCACAATCGATCTCACAATCGATATCACTATGGATCCCACTATCGATCTCAATCGATCTCACAATCGATCTCACTTTCGGTGTCACTATCAATTTCACGATCGATCTCACTATCGATCTCACTATCGATCTCACTATCGATCCAACATTCGGTCTCACATTCGGTCTCACAATCGATCTCACAATCGATCCCACTATCAGACTATGGATCTCACCATATATATGACTATCGATCTCACTATCGATCTCACATTCGGTCTCACTATCGATCTCAATCGACATCACAATCGATCTCACAATCGATCCTACATTCGGTCTCACTATCGATCTCACTATCGATCTCACGATCGGTCTCACAGTCGATCTCACTATGGATCTCACGACAGGACACCAACGGGACGCCGACGGGACACCGACGGGACAACGGCGGGCAACCGACATTCGGTCTCACTATCGATCTCAATCGATATCACGATATCACAATCGATCTCACAATCGATCTCACATTCGGTCTCACTATCGATCTCACTATCGATCTCACTATCGATCTCACTATCGATCTCACGATCGGTCTCACAGTCGATCTCACTATCGATCTCACGACAGGACGCCAACGGGACACCGACGGGACACCGACGGGATAACGGCGGGCCACCGACGGGACAATGCGGGCCACCGCTTGACATTGACAACGCCGGGGGGGGAAACATTTGTGTTCGCGGACCCCTAGCGACAGCAGAGTGAATTCCTCTCGCCCGCCCACGCAGCTTCGCCTCGCCCGCACGCACGACACGAACACGAAACCGAAACCGATTTCCCGGTGGGGGGCTCTCCGTTCCACTTCGATCTCACCCCCTCACCTCCGATGCTTCTGTGTGTGCTTACCTTCCGGCACCGGCCCCTCAACCCGGATTCCACGGTGCCTTGGACGGCAGCTTCATCGTAGGGTTCCGCTCGCACGGAGACCGCGAGCGTCTTCTCACCACGGCGTTTGTGAGCTTGTTCTGCCGCGTTGTTCAATCCGCTCACTGCTAATTGCTTCGTCCATTGCGTCACCTCCACTGGGCGTGTTTACCTGATGGTACACCGACGGATGCACGATGATATCCAGCTTCCCCGCGGTCCACTGATGGTTTTATTCGCCTCTGGTGTTTGCGCCGCGGGTGTTTATGCGCGTCACGCCGTTGCTTGTTGATTCAGGTTGCATTGATTGCTATATGTGTTGATGCCATGTGTTGCCTAGTTGGTGCATGTTGCTCTTCGTTGCGGCGTCTTGGAAGGCTAAGCATATTCGAGGATGTCCCAGTGTCTGTGTTGACCATGCGCTTGCAAAACATGGCTGCGGCCCGCTACTGCTCCTGCCAGTTTGGGCGGTGAAGAATTGATTGTTTGTGTTTGCACTCGATCCCTCTTCTATCGCTGGCTCTAGTTGTTCTGTAGGCTTGCTCACCTTGTTCGTGCATTCCCACCCCTGTCCGCCAGTTGCGCTGGTGGCTACGCGATGGTCGCATGTCGAAGCCTCGGTCCTAACCAGCGCACGTAGGGTGAACAGAGCGTGTCTACAGCTTGCAAGGGTGTATATGGCATTTCGCATTAAAACGAGGTGTGCGGCTTGAAAGATTATGCGGCATGTCTGGAAAAGAAGGCGGCCGATGATGAAGATGATACGAGGCAGAGACGGACACGTAGATGAAAGAACGAGACAGTGAAGGTGGAGGAGCAGCAACCGTGGCAGCACAAATGTGATATTTCTTCGCGCTGCGCTTTGTTCGAAAAGTTGTCCCGCAGGACAGGGACCGCCAGAACATTCCACGGGACAGGCGCAGGGACGCGATGAACGAGCAGGCCGGGCTGGGGTTGAGCCTAAGGGCGCGGCAAGCTTCTGAGGGGGCCTACATTGACACAGTCACGTTTGCGCGCGTACACACCACCGCGCTGGGGAAATTATCGCAGCAAGGCTGTGGCGCTGCACAGTTGTAGCACTGCACTGGCTGCAGAGGTGCGTGTATATGGCGCAGCACGTTGGCAGCGTTACGTTGGCATGCGCAGCTACACGAAAGGACACAGCCCGTATAGCTAGCTGGCCCTTTCAGAAGTCTCTTGGGCTCAGCTTGGTTCGCGAGGGGCAGAACATGATTCAAAGCACCTGGGCCCAACATGCATTTACACGCTGCAAATGCGCTGGTGCATCACTCCTTGGCGCAGCTTTGATGAGCCACGTTGATATTTGCGTGAAATGAAAATGAACAGGGGCTACCTGTCCTCTGAGCCCGAGGAGACGCATCGCATCCCCTAAGGAAATGGTAAACTGCTCAGGGCGGACGCTATGGTCGCCCTCAGAGCGCACTGGTTACCTGGAGTGCGAAGCCAGGTGGAACGGAAAGCCCCCTACCTGCACAATGATGCTACATGGGAGGTGTAGTTCACAAGAGTAAACTTGTGCAACCATTTGCTCCTTTTGTGAACTTGTTCGCAACTAGTTCACAAGACCTGTTGGAGCCACCGCGGCCTATGCTTCACAAGAGCGCACCTTGTGAAATGTTGCCCAGCCACGCTGCAGAGATAAAGGCGACAGACATAAACGAGTCAGCGAGCGTCCCCGCCTCAAGACAAAATGCCGAGTGGACCGCTATAAGTTCTATAAGGCCCAGTTATGCGAGGGACTATACAAAGGGTCAGCTGTAATGACGAAACGGTGATCCCTAACTGCACAGGGAAAACCGAAAGGCATGCAAGTCAGTAGACGAGCGTGTTGACGTCGATATGCGCATCACGAATTCGTTGCCGATGACGCCGCCGGAGAACATCACACTACAGAGCAGACTTGAGCAGCGCAAGCCTGGGACACGATCCACAGACCAGGGTACCTCAGTGGGTCTCTCACCCCCGCACTGAGATGGTCTACGCCCTCAGTGGGTCTCTCACCCCTGCACTGAGACGTCCGTCAGGCCTCGAAACCTGAAGCGCAGAAGCGCCGAGTCCATCCAGACAAGACGTGAACCTTGGCCCTGGTGCCAACGAGTGCACTGCAACATCCACACGATAGCGTCAAGCTCACCAGAAGCAACCACCAGCGGTCCCAGCGCGGTGGTTGGGTCGACACCGACCGTGAATCAGCATCTCCCTCATGTCCCCCAGTCAAGAGGGTCTGTAGACGCGACCGTATTGTCTGCAAGACCTCTCACATCCACAGAGAAAGCCGATCGCAGCGGCCGCATGAGGTACACGGCGTAGGAGGGTGAGGCGTTGGCGCTGGCGCCCGCGTAGCCCGCCGCGGCGCATCCAGACTCAATCGTCTGAAACATTGGGAAGTCATAGCGTTGTCTACTTCATGCATGTTGGCCCATAACCATGACAATATTAGCCTAGCCTAGAGTAGCCCATCGTAAAATGTCGCATCCTAGTCGAGCGCAACGTTATCACAGCGTAGTATAGTTGGGAATTGATGTATCGATATTCAGTGCAGCGCAGCTTGTGTTGAGCGTTACATGCTTATACTGTTTGTGTGAAGTGGGTGCGAACGTAGTTCAGATGTCGGATTTGGCACGGAAGCATTGCATTAAGCACCGTGCTTCACGCATTTCACCACGCAGGTTGGGCTATACACTACGTTGATCGGTTCGCATGCTAATGGTACAGTTCTATTGTCGGATGTTTTTGTGGATCGAAGTCTGTTCAGTGTGTACAATGTCGTATGCCGTGGCCACAATACCCGTTGTTATATGATACGGCGTTATGTGCATCAGCTCTGCTTCCTTCAGAACAATTCGCTTTCGAATTCGAGTTGTTGACACTTGATGGGCTGACCTGGTCGCCAGCCTGGCGGAAACGTGGCCCAGGGCGTCTTCGATGGCCACGGGGACTTATCAATATTGGCGTCTACGGCACTGGCCATGCGCTTGCAGCTCCGATTTGTTCAGCTTAGAGTGGGTTCTTGTTGGTCGACGAGCGCATCTGAGCCCAGCGCAGACCAGCGGAGCTTGTATTGCGAAGGCCTTACGGCCAGTGCCGCCGACTATGAAGGCGGGACCTCCCCCGGGACCCCAGTGGGGGGCGGGTGGTGTTCTAACCCGGGACCGCCTCCCACCCCGACCCACCCGTTGGCAGGGAAGGGATCAATCGGAAGGGGCTCCCCTTCGATTTAACTACGACGTTCCTGCATTTCTTTGTTCCTCGTGTTCTTTGAGATTGACGACGGCGACGACGACGGCAGCGTCTTCCAAACGCCGAAGCGTCAGCGGATTTGGAACATATCAGTTTATGTGAGTCGTGTTTCGGCCTGCTCGACATAGCGTCACTTGTTTTGGATTTCTTGTTTGGACATCTGCTTTGTGCTGCTTGAGTGTACAATGTGTAGACATACCATATGCTGTAAAGCACGTTTGCGGTATATTGCGTAAGGAAATGCAGCGGAGAAGGAACAATTCATGAATACTGGATACATAGTATGAGCCGCTTGGAAAATACACCACGTCTTGTGTTGGAGATGAAGAAGTAACTTTAATTCATGCGAACGGGACAGCGGTAACCGCCTACACTGTAACGTAGATCATTGGAAGCTTCCGACAACAATGAACAAATCAGAGACAGCCATGAGGAGGGTGGAAAAAGGCAAGGTGAGAGAAACAATGACAATGACAAGGAGACAGCAGTAAAGGAGCGACAGGCGATGCAATAAATCAGGGCACATGATTAAAGAGTAGTGATGTAGCGGCAGAGGACATCAAAGGCTGACCAAGTAGATTGAAGACGCGTCGGGCGCAAAGAGATAAGGGCAAGTGGCAACACGCACGAAGAATGGTGAACAATTTCAGAAGCACGCAAGACAAATTGATGGGTAGGGAGCATCTAGCATCTAGTATGGAAGAACGAGTGTCGAACAATGATTACGTATATGAATGGACAACTCCTGGAACTCATGAATGCAATGTGCGCCGGAATGATACACAGCAAGCCTAGATCCATATGCATATTCATTGGGACTTTGGCATATATCAGAAACAGCTTGCATCTAGCCACCGTGCGCGTCCCAGGTGTCGCTCGCACTGTTGCGGCTAGCTCCACATTACTACGGGGGATTCGCTCTGTTATTCGTGACATGCTTCATGTGCTCCCCATTCTGCTTTGAAGCGCAGTACGACATACGCGCCATATTCGTTCCAGGGGATGGGCAACTCGGACCCGAACTGGGTAGAACTTGCACAGCGAACTAACACAAGCCAATCAGTCCTGGAGAAAAGCTGTCTTGATCGGCCCCGTCCAGCTCAGCCAAGTAGACAGACACGTCCTACTCTTTGGGCTAGCACGTGGTACAACTAGACATCCATTCTCCTTTACATTGTGTTCCACCCTCTGCTTCCATCAATTATCCTGCAGCTGCCGTTCCATATGCCTCTCTCTCCAACTCGCTCTGTCACTCTCTCTCTCTCTCTCTCGCTCTCTCTCTCTCTCTATCCCTCTCTCTCTCACTCTCTCTATATATAAATATATCTATCTATATATATATATGTATATATATATATGTGTCTCTCTCTTTCTTTCTCTCGCCTTTTTCCCCTTTATGTGTATCTCTCTCGCTCTCTCTCTCTCTCTTTCTCTTTCTTCCCTGGTGGAAGCTATGCGGTGTGACTTATGTGGTGTAAGTTTTGTAGTGGATTATTTGTGGTGGATGCTACGTGGTGCAAGCTATGTAGTACCAGCTACGTGATGTAAACCATATTGTATAGGCTATGCGGCGCCAGCCATGTGGTGCAAGCTATGTGGTACAACCTATGTCGCTTAGTTTGCGCAGTGTGTTCAATGTGGTGAAAGTTTTGCGGTATGAGTTATGTGGTGAATGCAATGTGGTGCAAGCAATGTGGTGCACGCTGTGTAGTGCAAGCTATGCTGCGTGAGCAATGTGGCGTACGCTGTGTCGTTCAAGCTATTGAGTGCAAGCTATGTGGCGCAAGCTATGTGGTGTACGCAAGTTATGCGGCGTGAGCTATGTGGTGTACGCTGTGTCGTCCAAGCTATTGGGTGCAAGCTATGTGGTACAAACTATGTGGTATAAACTATGGGGTGTAAGCCATTCTGCTGAACATGAAGTCGTCATCTCCATTGCTCGCGCAAACATCCCACCCACCCACCCGCAATTTGGTTTGCAAAACCTCTTAAGACCGACTACGACGACACCGACGACAACGACTACGACGACACCGACGACGTCTCCGACGACTCGTGACGACAACGACGCCGACGCCGACGACGACGAAGACGACGACGACGACGCCAACGAAGGCGACGACGAGGGAGGAGGACGACGACGGCGACAACGACGACAACGACGACAACGACGACGGAGGAGGGAGGACGGCGACGACGCGAACGACGAAGAAGGAGGAAGGACGGCGACGCCGACGACGACAACGACGAGGGAGGAGGGAAGACGACGACGACAACGACGACGACGACGACGGCGACGAAATAGGAGGGACGACGACGAGACGCCGACGACGGACGACGACGACAACGAGAGAGGAGGAGGCAGGACGACCACGGCGACAACGACGACAGAAACGACCACGACGCCACAAGAGGACGACGACGACGACGAACACGAGGAAAGACAGAGGACGACGTAGGCGACGACGACGACGACGTCCCGGGAGGAGGGAGGACAGCGACGACGACGACGACGACGACGACGACGCAAGAGCGCGCGCGCGCACGCTTTTGTTGAAAATCCGTGTTGCGAAACCTTGGGTTTTTGTAGGTTTTTTGGACACACGATTTTGAAATCTTTCCGAAACCAATGGGTTTTGAAGGTTTTCGGCGTACGCCCGCGACGACGCGCGCGTCTGCACTTCGTCCCATTTCTTGCAGAGGATTCTCGCGACGGCACACGCGCAAGGGCGTTCGACAGATTTCGACATGCGCGCGCGAAGCCCGTTCAGTTGCATGTGTGAAAATCTTGAAAAACCTATGGTTTTCTTAAGATTTCGCAAGAGTTCGCGCGGAAGCTTTTTTAGAAAATCAGTGTTGCGAAACCTTGTGTTTTTGTATGTTTGTTGGAAACTCGATTGCGACATCCCTGCGGCACCGAAGGTTTTTGAAGGATTTCGGCATGCGCGCGCGACGACGCGCGCGTGCGCACTTCGTCCCATTTTTTGCAAGGGATTCATGAAAAGTGCTATGTTATAACAAAAAACCACCGCATCGTGTTTTTTTACAAGGGACCCTCAGGGGGGGGATACCGGTTGGCATTTTACATTGTGATTTCATATTTAAGATGGACATGTGGTCAGAATCATATAAAATCTACATACCCGAAAGGGGGAGTGATAACTCCGGGGGCGGGGTAGATCCTATTCTGTTTTTAGAAAGGAGAATATATGCGCTGTGAGCTATCGTGTAAAAGCTATGCGGCTCCGTGTCCGCTCTGGATCAAGCACTGACACCGTGTCATTTTTCCAAACTGGCAAGTGTATTTACACGTTCCCAATGACCTCATATATCTTTTATGTCGCAGTGCAGCAGCTGTCACTCATCGCGGCAGTCGCCCTTACCGTTCACCGCGAGGTGGGGGCTGACCACGGAGGGGATCGTGGAGGTGGGCATGGCAGCGCTGCCGCCCGCCTTGGAGTGATGGGTAAATCCGGAGTCACGCGGTACAGCGCCACACAGATCAGGAAGACCAAGAGTGCTCAAGGGGCGTATTGGCCTGATTCCTCAAGCCGCGGCAATGCTGATTACGCTGGCGCCCAGGACCTTACCGACAACGTCTCCTGGGGATGGCACCACCCAAATGGGGTGTACAGCACCATCCCGGTGGGCGCGCCACTCATCGACAGCGAGCTGAACATCTACGTCGGGGCGGACGACGCCATCCGGAAGTTCGACGTGTCCGGGGAACTCCTTTGGAGTTACGCCCCTCGCGGCCAGCTCGCCGCCGCCCCGTCCATCGCCATCAACTCGCAGTCGCAGCGCCTCGCGGTGGCTCCCACGGAGGTCTCCGCCGAGGAGGAGGCGGCCCTCAGGCCGAATTGGGCCCAGCAGGGCAACGACACCGAAATCCCGTTCGAGACGTTCTTTGCCCAGGTCAAGGTCGGCGACCACCTCAAGGTGCGGCCCGGTCACGCGTACCGTGGCGACGGCAAGGAGCTCTACAGGGCTGGTGATCAGGGCAGGATCACAAAGGTCTTGGGGGAGGGGAGTGGCAGCGACAGGGTGATCATCCAGTGGCCGCGCACGGGCCACGAGAGCGTTGCGAGCCTCGCCTCCCTGGGCAAGAGATTCGTGCGCGTTGCCAGTGAGATCACGGCGGCATCCTTGCCGCCCATGCTGGTTGGGAGCACCACATCTGGCTACGTGTTCGCGATCGCCCTCAGCGACGGGGAGGAAATTTGGGCGACCCAGGCCTCCGAGCAGATCGCAGGCGTCAAGGGGGCCGTCGGCGCAAAGGATGGGGTGGTAGTGGTCGCGACCAATCGCTGCGTAGACCGGTATTGTTACCGATACCGCAACCAGACGAATCCACTCACACCGAGCAATTCCTTCATACGTGGCCTGAGTGCCGCGGACGGCAGCGCCATTTGGACTTATAAAACCCGGTCGCCCGTCTGGAACATGGTGCCGCAGTGGGGCCCCGACGACACCGTCATGTTCCAGGATTTTGAGGCCAACGCGTATTGCCTCAACTTCAAGACTGGCGCGCTGGTGTGGAAGTTCCTCGCCCCTAAGGGCATGGGCACGTACACGAACGCGGCTGCTGTGTACGACTCGTCGGCCAACCGGCTCTTCACGATGGGCGCCAAGGGGTATGAGCACAAGTATTGCAACCCGTACCCAGCGCCTGGGATCTTGCCGTATTGCAGCACGTGGCCTGGCTCCGCAGGCATGATCTACGGCATCAACGCGACCTCGGGCAAGAAATTGTGGGAGACGGAGACCAAAGAGCCGCCGACGAGCGGCGCCGTTGGCTTTCTGAACAGCCCCCCAGGCCACACTAGGCTGGTTGTCACTCTGGGCTACAACTGCAGGTACAATTCCCCTTCCGAGATCTTGTCTGTCGATCCGCACAACGGACACCTCCGGTGGGAGAGGGAGGGCCCGACGCTGTGGTCCAACATGTGCGCAGGGGACAAAGAGGGCGGCGACATCCGAAGGGCCATGGGTGGCCGCGCCGCCTGCGTGCCAAACTCGTGGTCCGCCCCAGTCATAGACTCCAACGGCGACTTCTACGTCGGCAACCAGGTTGGGGTGCTGCAGAAGTGGGGGTCCCCGACGGGGCGCACCACTGATGTCCAGGTGCTCTCCACTCTGACCACGGGGGTGGCATTCCAGGACGCGGCCATAGCATTCGGGCCTGGCATCATGGCGGTGTCGACGTGCACTTCCCTCATCGTGTTCCAGACCTCCGACGGGGACAACTTCACGTTCGCCCCCTACGAGTATTGAGAGAGCAGGGCGGGGGCACGATGAGAGCGACTTTCTTGTTTATTGCCTGGTCGCACATTGGGTAGGACTCGTGGTACATGCTGCTCGTTTAGCACCCTGGTTCCAACGAGCACGACCATGCCCGCAAATCTCTCGAGAGATAAACTTGCCATTGCAATATGCGGCGCGATTTAATGCCGTTCGTTGTGCAGCATTTTGGCTCCGACGAGCGCGACCGTGCAAAAAATACCGCCTTCAAGCTCCATCATCAGGTTACATGAATGAGTTGCACCGAGCTAGATGATCATATTCGGCGCAGCAGGTGAGGGCCGAGGATCTCTTGAGGAGCGGTGGGATGTATTCTGGGTTCTTGGGGCTGGATTGGGGCAGTCTTGGAGCGGTCCGTAGCAGTCTTGGGCCAGTCAGAGGCCCTCGGAGACGGCCTCTGCAATTTCCCCACCTGGAACGGCCCCTGAAGAGAGAGCCAATGCAACACAAGTTGGGGAAAGGCATTAAGTATTAGCGATTACAGCGTTGCACGCGCAAGCATTGAGAGTAATGGCCCCATTCGATATACGACGCCTTAGCACGATGGACCAGCGAATCTGAATCACCAGGGCTTCAATTCGAATATCTGTCGATGTCTCGGCCATCATCATTATGCCGAATCCTCATACTTGTCCTTATTCCACCCTCCTCTCCCTCTCTCCCTCCCTTGTGTTCCTTCTCCTCGTACTCCTGCGTTTCCTCCTCCTGCACCTCCTCATACTTTCTCCTCCCTCGTCCCCCTGGAGGAGGATAAGGATAAGGACGAAGACGAGGATAAGTAGAAGAGAGGAGATGGGACTTCCAGGGGTGTCAAATCGGTTGGGACAGAGCTGCGCGACCGAGCAGTCCCATCAGCGAGCTCACCTCAGGAGTGCTCTGAGTGCCCAAGGACCCAAAATATCCCGACTTCCTACTTCCCAGCAAAGCGCCGCAGCAGCCTGGAGGGCGTGACGCAGACAGCAGCAGCTGGCGCGAGTGAATGAAAAGCACCTGCGTGAATGAAAATAGATACAGTCAACGAGTGCAACACATGTGGGCAATGCAACGCCAAGCAACGCAAAGCACTTGAAAGCGTCGCGAAGATGCACGAAACCATAAAAAAGTTGCGCCGCGTGGCCGCAAGCCGTGGCGCAACCCGTTGTCGCACCAAAGAATCAGCGCCACGATGCGCCCAGTCAGTTCCACAAGGAATGAGCAAGAGCTCCTACGTGTAAGCACTTTTGGAGGGGAGGGGGAACGACGCATAAAAGGGAAATCGAGACGGGCTGCGCGTGTCTGCACCCAGGCATGCTCGCGTCGTAGAAATAAAACAAAAACAAACAAAAAACAATAACAAAAAAAAGGACGGACGGTTTTTCTCAGTCTTCGGCCCCCAGGGGCCCTCGCCGGGCCCCCAGGGCCGTCAAAAAGCAACTCGGGACGAAGAGCACGTCTTGGGGAAAGGTCGGGACTTCTGGGGACGCCGTCCTGGAAAAGTCAGGACGTCGCATGTCTGGGCACCACTCTCCGTGGGCTTCGGGCGGAGGGATCCGCCCTCCTGCCCTTGGCCTCGACGATCCGCCAGGCCGTGCCAGTGACCAAAGCTGAGAGCGGCCCGCCAGGTCATGCGGTTCTTCGCCGCAGACTGGCTGCGGGAGGAGCTCATGCCACCAGAGGAGATCGCCAGGCAGGCGTGGGCCGTGCCGGAGCGACGGCCCCCCGTCCACAAATTCCGCCTCCTCCTCGTCATCCTCGTCCTCTTCCACCTCATCCTTTCCCCCTTTCTCCACCTCCCTCCCTTCCTCTTTTTCCTCCCGCTCCTGCGTCCCAGGGAGCAGTGCGCCTCCCCCTGCTGCGTCCTCCACCTCCTATTCCTATTCCTCATTCGTCCTCCACCTCCTTCGTCCTCCCGTCTCTTCCCATCCCCTTCCTCTTCTATTTCCCCTTCCTCCTTTTCCGCCCCCCCTTCTCCAAGTCCGTAGCCATTTTGGCTCAATATGTTTTCTCGTTTCGAGCATCAGACGAAGACCTCTGACCCGAAGCAGTAGTTCGCTTGTCCGCCTGGTTCGCCCCAGGTGTGCAACCGGGAACCGGCGTGCCAAGCGTCCACATGATGTTTCCGCATCCGAGCCCGTTCGACGGCAACGGCCACGGCGACCAGGCCAAGTGGGGAGGCACGAGCTGTGGGTACCACAACCTCGGGTGCAGGATGCGATGCCGCCAGGCTGCGTGTGACGCATACCCCCCTGCGGATCGTGGTGTGCTTCGTGGTGGTGGTCGTGCTGATGTTGGTGCTTGGGCCAACGGGCCTGATGGGGTGCGAGGCTTTGGCGCGAAGCAGGAAGGAGGAGGAGGAGGAGGAGGAGGAGGAGAAGGAGGAGGAGGAGGAGGGAGGAGGAGGAGGAGGAGGAGGAGGACGAGGAGGAAGACGAGGAGGAGGGAGGAGGAGGAGGAGGAGGGGGTGGAGAAGAAGGAGGGGAGGAGGGAGGAGAGGCGGGCGTGCCCAGAAGCGCACCGCCAGTGGGACGCAAGGGGTTGCCTCTCCGCCCGTGCTCGCTCCGAGGCTCGCAGGCGCTACGCTGCCATGCCCGGTGACGAGTTCGGGCTGCTCTCCGTGTGTGTGTGTGTGTATGTGTGTGTGTTTGTGTGTGTGTGTTTGTGTGTGTGTTTGTGTGTGTTTGTGTGTTTGTGTGTGTTTGTGTGTGTGTGTTTGTGTGTGTTTGGGTGTGCTTGTGTGTGTGTGTTTGTGTGTGTTTGTGTGTGTGTTCGTTCGTTCGTTCCCCCGCCTAATGCGGGACGCCGAATCTTCACACCGTCTCAACCCAAACCGCGCGCCAAGGCAAACGATGCAGGCGGTGGTGGGTGAGGGGGAAGTACGTGGGTGGGGCACGGTCCGCTGTGCAGCCACCCAACACCAAAATACGCACCCCGCACGCCGCTCTTGAAAGCACCCAACCGCCAGGACCGGCCCCTTCCCCGCACTGGTGGAGCCAACCTACGCACAAACACACGCGACGCAAGACAACCACGGAGCTGCAGCCGGCGCTGCATGCAACCCGTGCTGTGTGCGCGCTGTCTCGGCGTGGAAAGCTGTCAGTCGGTTCCGGGTGGCGTGATGGGGCGCACCTGCACCGCGCGACTCCGCACAAGGCTCACGGGAGCATGTGGGAACGCGGGTGGGTGAGAGCGCGTGTTTGAACCACCCATGCGTGTGTGTGCGTGTGTGCACAGCCAAGCCATCGCTGCACCAGGAGGCACCCATGGATACGAATTCGCAATAAAACGTATCATTAACCTCGGACCTGTGCTCCCGTGCGGGGTCCCGGCCGAGATACGCCAAAACTTCACTACCCAATTCGGGCAGCCACGGAGAGAGGAAGAGGAGGAGGGAAGAGGAGAGTGCAGGAGGGGGCAGTGGGGCACGCGGTGGCAGCAGCGCAATGCTGCACGCTCCGCCGATGCCGCAACAAAAACCGAATCTGTCGTAACGCCAGCTGGCCCTGGCGACGCGACGGGAGACACCGGCGTCGTCGTAACGCCAGCTCGCGGCGAGACGTCAGCAGGGGTACGCCAAAACTGCACTGCCCAATCCAGGCAGCCATGGAGGGAGGCAGAGGGGGAGGAAGAGGGAGGGCAAGGGGAGAGAGAAGAAAGGGAGAGGGGAGGAGCACGGCGCCACGCCGCACCGCGCAGCGCATCACAGCCAGCGACAGGTGCGTGCGTGTGGGCAGGCGTGCGCGGGACTGTTTTTTCCACAATGCCGACATGGAAGCTGCACGGGCTCAGCCAAACGATGGGCGACGGCACTGGCTGGGCGCACGAACGCCTACAGAAAAAGACATCGAGTACCAGGAAGCAGGCGGGAGGGGGAAGGAGGGGAGAGAGGCAGCGTGACGCAGGCTAAGGATGCTAAGGCGCACGCGATCAGACAGCAGCCTCTGGAGGGGGCTTAGGGAGTCACGAAGCCACGCTGTCGCGAGGGAGGGGTCCACACGGGCGCGCGCAGTAAACACCTGGCAGAGCCGTAGCAGCAGCGCGTGCTGCTTGACGGGGAGGGTTGCCACGCCACGGACACCGGGCTCCATGGCGGCAGGGTTCTGGAGAACGGCGGACGACACGACCGCGACGAAGGACGACGGGAGCGACACCTCGGGGGCCGGGGCAAGTGCTCCAGGCACGGAGCCGATGGCTCCAGATGCCGCACCGCTGCACATCACAGCGCAGCACAGCGCAGCGAGGCCGCGTGTGTGCGTGTGTGTGGCAGCACATCACAGCACAGCACAACACAGCACAACACAGCGCAACACAGCACACACACACACACAGCACATCACATCACAGCACATCACAGCACATCACATCACAGCACATCACAGCACACGCCACTTGGCGTGTGTGTGTGTGTGTGCGCGTGTGTGTGTGTGGGTGACGGTGGCACCTCCTCCTCCCTCCTCCTCCTCCTCCTTCTCCTCCTCCTCCTCCTCCTCCTCCTCTTCCTCCTCCTCCTCCTCCTCCTCTATCGCCTCCTCCTGCGCCTCGTTGTATTTCATTACGCTCATGGCCCCCACCCCCCTGGGCCGCGCACATGCTGCCGGCCATGATTTGCGCCCCCCCCTCTTAACCGCCCCCGATATGGTGACAGGCAGAGTCTGCAGCAAGCCAGGCTCCACGTGCAGAGTGAGCTCGGCGGCCTGTGCAACATCAAGGCGGCCAAGACGGCGCAGTGTGCTGCTGACGGTGCGCGCCGCAGGCTGCAGAAGGCCAATATCAACTACGACAAGAAGCAGAAGGTGGCGGCGGAGGCTCTGCCCACCTCCAACAACAGCGGGATGCTAGGTTGCAGGAGGAGCTCGACGCCACGGTCGAGAAGGCCAAGCTGTTGTTGCAGGAAGGTACTCCTGTCGAAGAACCCCCTCGCCCCGCAGCAGTGCAGTACGAGACCATGGCCAATGATATCGGGGACCAGCTGCAAGGTATCGACCTTGGGGCAGCTGCTCAGCCGCTCACGGCTCTGTTGCGGACGTTGGCGGATGGTGGAGGCAAGATCAGCGTGCCAGCGTCTAATCCAGCACTTGCGTCGGCAAAGACGGCCTCCAGCGTTGGACTCAGCGCTGCTTCGCGGGTTGTAGTCGAGTCCCCAGGGTTTCAAGATGAGGATGCTGCCATGCAGACCATCGTCAGCAACAAGAGTTTCGCAGAAGTTGCTGACAATTTCTGCCAGGGTGATTTCGACAATCGCTGCACAACAACTAGACCCAGTGGTACCTCTAGATATTTGTTGAGAGCAATGTCACCTTCTGGCTCCCGACTCTGAGCTTAAGCCTGGATGTGGGTTTTCGTAGCTGTCACTGACAGCGCCTCGGGGCCTCCAGTTTCCCTTGCAACGGCTGCAACTGATGAGCTGAGTTCAGAAGCGCAACAAATGTAGATATCCGAAGTGCCGACATGCTGGCCAACTTCTGAATTAACATCGGTGGGCCTCGGGAACCAGAGTTCACGAGTTTCTACGTCGGAGTGAAACTGAGAAGTTGTGTCGGATGGCCTGGCAACCAGTGATTCCAAGATTGCGCCGCTGTCGTGTGGCAGCCTGGGAGTGTAAGGCTGTGGCGGAGGAACTCTCTCTGCCGAGATGATCATGGGAAGGCTGGGTAGTAAAGGAGGTAGGGCAAGCCGAGAAGCGTACTGATGATGCCCACATTGCGTGTATGAGTTGATCTGTCCACCACCAAATTGTCGCGACACGCACTGGTGATGCCCACCATGTCAATAGAAATTGCACGGCCCGCTGTCGCACCAATGGGCCTTAACAGTTTCTGATTGCCAAGAAATGCCCTGATGATGCCGGTTTGTGAACTGAGCTGCGCACGCCCTGCAATTGCGGCCCCCCATTTCTGAGTGACCGATCATTGTTTTCATCAAAATATGTGAGGCTCGGTGTCATCGCAATATGTGTATTTTACAGTCTCGGATGCGTCGCTTTTTGGATTTGGTCACATCTTCATATGTTTAACCATGTATGCCGTCGCAAAGTCGCCACAGAAATTAAGATTCGAGATCATGGCAGCTGATTGTCAGCATGTACAGTATTGGGATTTGCGCGGGCGGCCATGCTTGCGCGGCTCCCGCGCGTGACCCCAGCCCGAAAGCCCGAGGCTCCTTGAGCCAAAGCGGCCACGGATCTGTCCCCCCTCCCCTCCCCCCCTCCTCGTCCTTCTCCCCCCCCTCCCCCCCTCCCCCCCCTCCTCCTGCTCCTCATTATTCTCCTCCTCCTCCTCATTCTCCCTCCTCCTCCTCCTCCTCCTCCTCCTCCTCCTCCTCCTCCTCCTCGCTCTCCTCTTCCCCCCCCCTCCTCCCCCATCCTCCCCATCTCCCGTCTCTATTTTCCCTCCGCGCCAGGAGCTCCCACCGCCGCCGAAGGCTTCCAGACGCTCGCCCCTCCGCAGGGCCATCGGCGGCCTCGCGCGGGCCTTCTTCCGCTCCTGACCTCCGCCGCCCGGGGCGTGGGCGCACCGCGGCGGCCCGACCGCTTCGGAAAGCGCCGCGGCGCCCATGAAGCGGAGGAAACGGAGGGGGATCGAGGTCGACCGAGGAGGAGGAGGAGGAGGAGGAGGAGGAGAAGGAGGACCAGTGTGAACCCCAGAGTCATCAACGATGTTGGGATAAACCCTCCCTCCAAGCTCCCTCTTCATAGGCCCCTGCAGCGGTACATGTCCACTGAGGGACCTGCCTCGGTGGAAGACAACCGTTTGAAGACCCTGAAGCATGCCAAAACATTGTTCTCGGGATTCTAACGCCATGGATAAACTTGATTGTTGCGTCTTGACGATCCTGAATCGCGCCAGAATGCCATTCCTAGAACTTCAACACCGCGAACCAACGTAATTGCTGCAGCCTCTTAATCTTCAATCCCTCCAAAACACTATTTCTGGTACGCTGATCTCGGGAATCCGCGAAAAAAACAGCGAATGTCCGTGAAGCTCTTGCAAATTGTCAAAGCGAATGTACGCGGTGCTAAGGCGAGAGCCACCTTTTGAAAAGGAACCGCCCTCAACCCGTGAAATGTTGCAAATGTTTCGAACGAACGCGCGCGGCGCTAAGGCGAGAGCCACATGTTGAAAACGGGCCGCCCTCAATCTGTGAAATGGTTACCAATGTTTCAGTTTCAGGGTCATCAATGGTGCGGAAGTCTCAAGCGAAACGCCCGGCCCGCCCTAAAAATTGGCTTCGGGGTGCGACAGGGAGGAGTCATGTATAGGAGAAGGAATGGAGGCGGAGGAGGAGGAGGAGGAGAACCAGTGTAAACTTAAGAGCCATCAACGATGTTGGAATAAACCCTCCCTCCAAGCTCCCTCTTCATAGGCCCCTGCAGCGGTTCATTTCGACTGAGGAAACTGCCTCGGTGGAAGACAACCGCTTGAAGACCCTGAAGCATGCCAAAGCATTGGTCTCGGGATTCTAACGCCATGGATAAACCTCATTGTTTCGGGGGTGGGCAGAACCCCCACCCTGACACGTCGATTCATGAATTGTCCGTTTTCGGTTCTCGAGAGTGCGCCGCGGCCGTTATTTTCCAGGCTTGCGCCCGCCAGGTTTGGGCCCGAGGTCGTGTTCACTAAACCACGTTTTGCCAAAGGGGGTTCTGTCCATCCCCGACTGTTGCGTCTTGACGATCCTGAATCGCGCCAGAATGCCATTCTTAGAACTTCAACACCGCGAACCAACGTAACTGTTGCACCCTCTTAACCTTCAATCTCTCCAAAACACAAATTCTGGTACGCTGATCATGGGAACCCCTGAAAGAAACAACGAATGTGCGCGGCGCTGAGGCGAGAGCCACATTTGAAAAGGAGCCGCGCTCAATCTGTGAAGCTCTTGCAATTTGTCAAAACGAACGCGCGCGGCGCTAAGGCGAGAGCCACCTTTTGAAAAGGAACCGCCCTCAACCCGTGAAATGTTGCAAATGTTTCAAACGAACGCGCGCGGCGCTAAGGCGAGAGTTATGTATGAGGTGAAGGAGGAGGAGGAGGAGGAGGAGGAGGAGGACGAGGAGCTATGTATAAGGAAACGAATGAAGGATGAGGAGGAGGAGGAGGAGGACCGAGGAAGAGGAGGACCGAGGAGGAGGAGGAACGAGGAGAACCGAGGAAGAGGAAGAGGAAGTAGAGGGGGTCGAGGTCGAGCGAGGAATTTGAGGACAGAGTCGGAGAGGGTGTGCAGGAGAATGAGGAGGAGGAGGAGGAGGAAGAGGGAAAGGAGGACCGAAAAGACGGAGAAGGAAGAGGCGAAGAGGCAGAGGACCGAGAAGGCGGAGGAGGGGGACAAGAAAGATCGAGGTAGAAGGGGGTAGAGCAGAAGGAGGAGAAGGAGGAGGAGGACCAGAGTAAACCCAGGGTGCATCAACGATGCTGTATTACACCCCCCCGTCCCAAGCCCCATCCTCGTAAGTGCCTACAGGCATTCCTCTTCACTGCAGGGAAGCATCCCCTTTCAAGACGAGCGCCCCACGGACCTGTCATTCAGGCGAGCGCCCCCTTTTGAGAAGTAGCTGACTTGACGAGCTACGTATCCTGCGATAGCCCCGTTATTGAACAAGGGGCCGCCCTCCATCCGTGCAGCTGTTGCGCAATGTTACACGTCGGGCCGTACTTGTTCAGGAGGGTTCGAGCGAGAGCCCCATGGTCAAGAGGAAACTCATTCCATCCGCGTGACTGTTGCACAATGATGCACTTCGAACCCGACGTGCTGACGAAGACTCATGCGAGGGCCCATCTTGAAGAGGTCCGCACATGTTGAGGACGTCCCAGGCGATACCTCCATGTTGAAAAAGGAACGGTCAACCATCCTTGCAACCTTTGGAATATATGAAGACGAATGCGCGTGCCGCCAAAGCGATGGCCACATGTTGAAAACGGGCCGCCCTCCATCCTCGTAAGTGCTGGAAGATTAGGAGACGAGTGTGCGTGGTGCTAGACAGAGAGCCACATGTAAGAAAGATTTGCTTTCAACTTGTGTAGCTGGTGTGAGTTTCCAGAGCCGAGATCAGGCTATGAGGTTGCCTCGGTCGAAACGCCTAGACCGCCCCACCATAAATCTGGTGGTGCGGCGAGAAGGCGTTATAAGGAAGAGGGGTGTCGGCGGAGGCAAGAAGAAGGGATGGGGGGAGGACGAGGGGGAGAAGGAAGACGAGGATGAGGGCGAGGAGGAGGGGGAGGATGGACGACGGTGGAGGGAGGGAGGAGGAGGGGGAGGTGTTGGAGGATGATCGAGATAGAGGAGGTACGAGGTAGGAGGATGAGGATGATCGAGGTCGAGGATGATACGGAGGATGGGGGATGAGGAGGAGGAGGAGGAGGAGGAGGAGAAGGATGAGGAGGAGGACGAGGATGAGGAGGACGAGGAGGACGAGGAGGAGGAAGAGGAGGAGGAGGAGGAGGGACGACGAAGGAGGAGAGCTAAGGGGAGGAGGAGGGAGCAAAAGGAGGAGGTGGAGGAGGAGGAGGAGAGCGGGGAAGAGGAGGAGGAGGAGGAGGAGCCGGAGGGCGAAGAGGGACGAGGGAAGAGGAGGAGGACCGAGTATTTTGGGCGTGTTTCCCAACCCTGCTGTGTTGGGCTCCCGTTTGGAGTGATCTCCGCTCCCTTGGGAGCAGTCAAGCAAGAATTGTGGCAACTTTAATGCGCGGTTGCGAGGGCCCAGCTGGCGCGGTCGTACGCGACCCGGCGAATTCTCCTCTCCTTCCTGGGTGTCCTTGGGAAGTTCGCCTTTGGGAGGTTGGCTTGCGCTGTGTTCCCAAGCTGCCAGTGGTGGCAGATTCGGTGTGGGGATGCCCGGATTAAGAAAAAGAAAATCCAATCTTTCGTGGGCGATTCTAAGCGTACAGTTGTCGATATGTCGATAGTTTCTTACACCTTGGGGTGGGTCTAACGTGTGCCCAATTCATTCAAGCGCTTCGCTCATTCCGCCGACCCCGACCCAAATTGTATGATCGGTTGCATTTGCCTGCGTACTCGCGGGGGCTGAGAAGATGGTGAATGGCAGTTGCTTCCCCGAGCCGTCGCGTGAACCTCCCTTGAGGTACAAATTGTGGCAGGCAAGGCAACACTTAAAGCAGCACGCCCCCACCGAAGTTCCCTCTACGAAGCTCTTGGCCACCGGGCGCCAGGTGGGCGAGGGGAAGAGAGCAGCGCGGAGCTAGGGGGCAACATTACCCTGGCAGAGGAGGGAGGGAGTGAGGGGGGAAGGGAGGGAGGAAAAAAGGGGGAGGGGCGAGGAAGGGAGGGAGGGAGGGAGGTGGAAGGCGGGAAGGGAGGGGGAGAGAAAGAGAGAGAGGGAAGGAAGAAGGTAC